AGTCTTTCCTTCTGATCATGTCCATCCAGGAAACCCAGTGACTCTGCAGTGTTCAGTTCTCTCTAACTCCGAGAACAAAACATGTCCTCGAAATCACAGTGTGTTTTGGTTCAACGTTAGATCTGATAAGTCTCAACCTAATGTAATTTATCCAAATGAAAACAGTGATAAATGTGAGAAGATTCAAGAGGCTTCCTCCACACAGAAATGTGTCTACAGCTTCTCCAAGAACGTCAGCTCCTCTGATGCCGGGTCGTACTACTGTGCTGTGGCCACGTGTGGACAGATCATTTTTGGTAATGGAATAAGACTGGATGTTAAAGGTAAATTTTAACATTTTATTATTTATTATTTAGAATAGATTATTATGCATTGATATCAGTTTTGATACCAAAATTCATATTCCATGGTGCATGTATTTTTCTAGAACTCACCACATGGAATTTGCAGAAGGCCAATACAGCCATCTTTCTGTTATGTGCTGTTTTGGTTACAAGTCTGGTTGTTATCGCCTACCTCATTTATACCATCAAGAAGAAAACGTGTAATTGTTGTAAAGGTAATACAACTTTCTCCTTTCGTCAGTCAGATCTAAAGGTATTTAGCAAAAGCTAACGTCACGTTTCATATCATTGGTTTGTTTCAGTCAGCCTAAAGCATCTTTTAGCTAAAACTTCTGTGTTTCAAACAGATGTTGGAACAGTCAGTGGTGAGGAGCAGAGTCAGCAGGTAGGGTGTATGTCAGAAAAGTAATGGGGAAATTAATAGGTAAATACTTCTAATCATTTATAGTCAAGACCTTTAGTGTTGATAAATGTTCGATTTTTCTACAGACAGTTGAAGATTCAGTGGTTTATTCATCAACAACTTTCACCTGGAGAAAAACTGACAAAGTGGAGCAAATGAGTTCCAGGAAAGCAGAGGAGACAGTCTACACTGGTGTGAGAGATTTGTAGCAGATCAACAATTCACCTGTGGAAATTGCTGAAAATATGTGGGACAATGTAGCATCATAAACACCACAGGGCCTCTGTTGCACTTCTGAAAATGCTCATGTAATATCTGAACAATATATTATAACAATATATTGTGTAATATGCAGTTTTTGCCTTGTATTTAGTATTGTGATTTAAATTTAGTTTTAATCTCAGAAAACTCTGAAAAGTTAGGCAGTCATTTTAATAATAAAATGAATAATAAAACTATGCTCCTTCTGGTCATTTCCACATTGTCCTCCATGTTTTTCATTCTCTCTCTCACGCTCTCTCTTAAAAGAGCACCGTTTTAATTTCTTTGATTTTATTTTGATATATTATTGAAGATGAGCAGACTGTTACGTGACTTCCTCTCAACCACAGCTTTAAGCATGGCCGATAGTGGAAGTCGTAGAGCCTTCTTAATCTTAACATCAATTTTAGCAGTTTTACTAATTCTCATGTGCATTGTCTTTTGTCACAGTATAGAGAGCACATGAGATATATCACTGCAACAACTGATGCTAAAGAGATCCAATTGTTGTGAGAACAGTCTTTATATTTTTGGCATCATACCATGTCCAGTTAGAGACGACGTAAGAGAAACAGAAACTTGCACACAGACAGTCGTTTTGCCAAAGGACTTAAGTAGTTTAAATAGTTACACCTTACTAGCACCAAGTTGCTTTCCAGACTGTCTTTATTCCAGTTATTATTATTAATTACCCCGTATAGATGCTGTTGCAGTCATTCCTCATAGACTTTGGTGCTTATTAACATGACAGCATGAAGCAGTTCCATCCCACAGGTACTCATTGGATTAAGATCTGGTGACAGTCACGACCATCTGAGCACAGTAAACTCATTGACAGGTTTGAGATTGTTTGAACATAGCAGATTATTCTGCCAGAAGCATCCATCATAAAATGGATATGCTGGTCATAAAGAGATGGGCATGATCAGCAACAATATTTAAGTAGGCTGTGTGGTGTTTAAGCAATGCTCAATTATTACTAGGAGTTCCAAGAAAACATCCTTCACAACATTACACAACCACCAACAACCAGAACCAATGATACAAGGCAGGATGGATCCACGCCTGTTTTTTAAAGACAAATTCTGACGCCAGCATCCAAAAGCCTTATCACAAAGTGGGAATTGTTAGAGGTGGTTGTAGTCAGGAGATCTAATAATCAACAGGTTGGTGATCAGATCCCTGGCTGCCTAAGTCTGCATGACAAATTTCTTTCGGAGCGCAGCTAGAGTGAACAAGTGTACCTAATGAAGTGGCAGTGTTGCAGTAACAGGGTGCAGCTCCTGGCAGACGAATGTGTTTGGTCCGCCACAACTTTCCACACATGAGATATTTTTGAGTTTGATATTTAATGGTTAAAAAAGTTAATGTCATTGTTTAGAAATGTTTAAAAATATAAAATCAAATGAATAACATTTGATCTTTTATCTATCTAAAAGCACTTTCTAAAGGCCCTCTGCATTGTTCTCTTGACAAAAAAACAAAACAAGCAAAGCCACATGCAACAACTACACTGACAGACAAAGGCTTTGGTGGGCCATTTCTCCGCTCTTTGACCAACCACTGAAGCTGTTTACTGAGAACAGAGCTCACTGTGCCCTTTAACAGGATATGATATGACAAAGCAGCTGCAAGACTCTTTTTATATAGACAAACGTAAATGATTTAGTTTTACTTTAATGCAGAGCACAAATATTGTTTATTTTTTGTGATTTTAAGCAACAAGCATTTACAACCAACTATCACCAACTATACAAGTGAGGTGTGTAGGAAAATAAGACTTCAGAAGTATGGTTAATAATATAGCAAACATTTGAAGAGAGAGCTGAGAGTAAAAGCGAAGCTCTCAATTTACCCTCCCTACCCTCACCTATCGTCACGAGCTGTGGGTAGTGAAAGAATGAGATCGCGGATACAAGCAGTGGAAATGGGCTTCCTCCGAAGGGTGGCTGGCCTCTCCCTTAGAAATAGGGTGAGAAGTTCAGCCATCCGGGAGGGGCTCAGAGTAGAGCCGCTGCTCCTCCACATCAAAAGGAGCCAGTTGAGGTGGTTCGGTCATTTGATAAGGATGCCTCCTGGGTGAGGTGTTCTGGGCATGTCCCACCGGGAGGAGGCCCCGGGGCAGACCCAGGACATGCTGGAGAGATTATATCTCTCGGCTGGCCTGGAAACGCTTTGGTGTTCCCCCATTTTCTGTCCAGCTTATGGGTTATCAGTTCTGAAATGTGCATTTGTGACTTATACCAGTCAGGCCTTTCTGAATTGGAGGTTCCCTTTTTTCATAAAACCCACAGTTTCCAGAGTCCTATGTATCACAGAATCCAGGTTCATACACAAAAGTGCAAAGCCAGACTCTGATGGTACAGACACGTGATTCAGGGTGAAGATTCTGTGGCCAAGACTGCCATGCACCTGATGGCTGGGTCAGATCAAAGAAGACATACAACAAGTGAACAAAACTGCTGAAATATATTGCTTGATATCCTGTATAGCTTAGAGATGTACCTCTCTGTTTGATGGACAGCTGGAGGCTGAATTGCTGTTGTAACTTTATAGAGGCAGTTAAAGAACAATAAGAAACTTGAAGAACTGAAAATATAAGACTGGCTGAGAGGAAGCTGAAATGTGATTTTTTTTTTAATCATCGGTTGAAAAGTTAAAACTTCTTTCAACAAAAAAATTCAGACAAATTTAATACAAATGTGACACAGCAAAAACCAAGCTAAATTCCCAAAAGTTACATTTGTAACTTTATGTTTCCTAAAATGTTAAAGCATTTAACATATGCACCGTGATCATGCTCACCACTTCTGTCTTTCCTTCAGTTGTATGAATGAAATGAATATCCGCATGTAAATGAATATAGGTTTATACCACTGTCTTTGCAAAAGTATGTTTACAGCTAAACACATTTTGGCAAGTATAATTACATGCAAGTATAATTTCTTTTATTTATCTTTGCTAATATTGGAATCAAAGTACAGATTTGATCAGATTTTAATCTAGTCCACCTAACCTGTGGCGATTATTTAGATGTTCTGTGCTGATGGGCTGAAGATGTGTTTGACAAATCTGCAAAATGTTTGTAGCTTTTCCCAAAAACCACATTTCAAGATGTCACTTTGACCGGTGGTGGTATCAGGTTTAAACAAAAAGATATAAGGTAACCTAAAACTAATCTACCTATTTGCATCCTTAATTGTTACAGCAGGACTGAACACAGCAACACTCATCAGCTACCTTCTTTTACACCTGCCATGGGTGAGTACCTGGAGTAGCTTAAGTCTTGGGATAACAAGACCAAATGACACGCTACACATCTCCACAAACCAAGACCACAACAAAATATAATATAAATGGTAAATATATTAAAACTTTTAGAAATAATTCAATAATAATGTTTTAACCAGTTACCCGTGTTAGAGATCCCGATTTGTCACTTTAGTTTGTTTGCTATGTGTGCGATGAGTCACTATTTGCTTGTCTGCTTGGACAAGTGGTTATTATGAGCTACATTTACTGTATGTTTGAAAGTTAATGCCCTCTCATGCCATTGTAAATAAACATTGAGTCTTTGCTTTGAGATTGTGCAGGATGTGGAACACCTAATGACCTAGAAAGTGGAACTTTGTAAAATGTGTTTAAAGCATAAAATTTGTTTCAACGAAGACTCAAACTGCCATCCCTGGTGTAGTTATGCATGTTTGTGCCACCATCCTACATTCACTTTCTAAAGTAAACACTTTTGCTCAATCTGGCAATTCAGGAGCATTTTAATGAATTGTTTCCAATAATAGGAAGAAATGGGCAATGCATCAGCTTAGTTTGAGGACTTGTTGTGCAAGATCAATGTCACAGGAAGTGGCCTTCTGAGTCTATGTTTTGTGATAACCAATCAGATGTATGTGACAGTATGACATGGAGGGTCCATGTTACCTCCTCCACCTCCTACACACTCAAAGAAATACTTATTAGATCCCTAACAGAGGACACTGTCAAAATGTTTTTGTTCTGGGTTACACTGATTCTTCTTCATCGAGTATGTAAGTGCTTTCTTATTCTATCAAGTATTTTTTCCATATATGTCGGTTGGTCTTACATTTCTTTTTTCAGTTTTTTTTTTTTTTATTGTTATTGACTGTTTTAGATTTTATATTTTTTGTTTCAATTTAGCTGCACTCATTCCAATAACTACAGCTCAACTTGGGGGACCTGTCAACTTTACATGTGTTCTGCCCAAAACTGAGACCGGCCGAAGAGATATCCACTGGTACCATCAGAGAGCTGGTGACACACTGAAAATTATCTGGACACTGAAAGAATCGGCAACACCTAAGTTTGCACCTGCATTTGATAACTCAAGATGGGAAGCTAATTATGATAAAAATGTCAGCAACCTGACCATTCTGAAAACAAATCAAGACGACGAGGGAATCTATCACTGTGGGTTTACAGAGTGGCTCCAAGATACTACATGGAGCGGAACGTATTTGTTAGTAAAAGGTAATATTGTGATTTTTTTTTTCTCAGCAGCTAAAGCAGTCTCATGTAAATGTGAAAAAAAAAAAAAACAATTAAAATGTCAATAAGCATTTTTGGAAAACCTACTAAACTTTCAATTTATATTGAAGATGTTTGCAGTGATCTTAATGGTTGTTTTAAGTGAAATATATTCTTAAGAATTTTATGACTAGCATGCATTACACCCATTTTTCTCAGGCTTTCAAAAGGTGCTTTATTGTCAGATTTGTCAACACATTTGTATTAAACAGGAAACACCCAGACAGCAAACTACACTGTTGTTCAGGAGAAGACAGTCCATGCAGGAAATTCAGTGACTCTTCACTGTTCACTATTTTCTGACGCTGAAAATAAGACATGTCCAGGAGGTCACCACGTGTTCTGGTTCAGAGAAGCATCTCATCCTGATATCATTTACACTGAAGGAAACAGACATCATGAATGTGGGAAAAGATCTGAGGCTCAGCGGAGCTGTGTTTTTCGCTCTTCTAAAAATGTCAGCTCCTCTAACGCTGCGACTTACTATTGTGCTGTGGCCACATGTGGGCTGATAGTATTTGGAAATGGAACTAAACAAGAAATGGGTATGACTATGAAATATATCATATCAGATATATATTCATCTCTTTTAGAATCACTCCTAAGATGTTTTCTTTGTTTTGCAGTGCAAACAGCAGGTTCTGCATTTATTGCACTGGTGATAGCAATAATCTGCTTGGTTATTTCTCTAATTCTTAATGTTATTTTCATCTGTTGCCGAACTCCAGGAGCAGCATGTGAACAAATTAAAAGTAAGTCGTTTAAAATAAATTAAAAAATCACAATAATATCGCTCTTCTTAACATTAAAAGGAACTTTCAAAGAAATAGGATTAGTAAAAGTAAATTTACATATCTTTCTATACACTTTATTATTAATATTGCTGACATCTTGCACATCTCATTATGTAGGACTCTATCAAGGTCAATAAGTTATTATTGACTTAGCCAGGTTAGAAACCCAATTTTAAAAAATAAAAATCAAGTAGATAATATTCCTCTTTCATCACCGTTATGCACAGAAAACAGCTCGTCACAAGCAAGGCGAGATGACTTGAGCCAAGCTGTGGATGACAGTGTAAGTAATAATATGGCATCATATTTTTAGTGATTTCTAACAACTTGATGTAATTATAAGAATTTTATTATTTCGCACAGATTGAAGGTGAACTGAACTATGCTGCACTGCAATTCTCTGGAAGGAAAACGACAAGAGGAAAGAAGAAGAAGGGTGAACTGGAAACTGAAGAAAGTGTGTACTCTCAAGTAAAATGCAGAATGTGAAAGTGTGTCGGTTGGGTTATAGTACTGATCTTTTATATTGAAAATAAACAAATACAAAGAATTTGTTAGTAATTTTACTAAAAACATGATGCTTTACATTCATTGTACCTATTGTGTTTTCCTGTTCTTGCTTTCCAGGTTATTTATTTATAATATGATGAATCAAATTAAATGAATAGTAATACATTGTATTACATACATAGTATACATGAGAGGTGAGTCGAGTATCCAAAAATTATACTCAAGTAAGAGTAGCATTACTTAAAAATATTATTACTCAAGTAAAAGTGAAAAGTAGTCGTCAAAAAAGTTACTCAAGTAAGAGTAAAAAAGTACTTGGCAAAAAGACTACTCAAGTAGTGAGTAACTGTTTGAAATGTCCAATTTATTTTTTAAATAAATGCTATCAGACAAACAAAAATAAATAAATATACAAATTTTAGTATTTTCAACAGATTATCAACAAAATAAGGCACAATTCTAATTTCCAGATTTCAGTTTTTCACAACATAGAGCTTTTCTCACTAATACCTACAGTAAATAATATAAATATATAAACAGTGCAAACAATTTCCAGTGACACGATATGCTGTAAACTTGATATTCATTTTTGCTCCAAATGGAACCGCACCCTCAGAGAAAACATTAGAGCGAGGCATCTTCAACATATGTTCATACAAGGCAGCTCGGTTAGCATAAATTGTATGGGTGTGCATTTATTTCTGCATATTTAGCAAAAATGTGCCATTTCTTCACTCAGTGAGGTGATGGTTAAGCTTCAGCAGCAGTTTGCTCTCAAGGTTCTTTCTGTGAAGCTTTAACTGTTTAGCAGTGAACAGGAGTCCTGCATGACTAAGAAGTCCTTCACAAGCTCCAGATGCAGGAAGAGCTGTACTGATTTTGATCGACAGCTTCTTGATGTGAGGAATGCCATGCAATAGAGCCACACCTCCAGTGAATGGACATGAAAGGTACCTCTCCCGCCCTACTTCTGGCTTTCCTGACCCCATGGATCCATCATCTTCGTCGAATAGGCCGCTGTTTGTGCTGGCCTCATCCAGCTGTGCGTCAGTGATGTCTGATGAAATTGAGACCTATGGAAAGATGTATGGTTTTCAAAAGAATTAGGTCTGGTCATTATAGTGCTGTATACACTGCCAAGCTGCAAATGTTTGTTTGGAGCTAGCCTCCAAAAGCTGGGCATACACTGTGCGCTTTTTGGCCCATTTTGAGAAGATTTTTCAGTCGCGCAACCATTTTGGGGATTGGCCTGAGTTTTGCCTACAATGCAAAATGTTCTCTGGATTCACATCTGCAAAGAAGACTATTATAAAGCAATGGTTCAGTCCTGACATTTGTATGGAATCATTCTGGATACGATGTCTTATCCGTGTTATTCATTTTGAACATACCACAGCAAAATTAAATAAAGCTCGACCCACGACTGTTGAAGCTTGGAAAATCTTCGCATCCAAAGTTATCTCCTGGAAGAGGCAATAACTGGTTTTGACTTTGTGTTTTTGTGCTTTTTCTTTGCTGTCCGTATGCCTTGTGACCAATGTTTGCTTTGCTACTGCAGTTTACAGTTGTGCTGTATATGTCTGTCCCCCCCCCCCCCCCGTTTTAAATCAATAAAATGTTGATCACAAAAAAAAGTATATTGTTAGAAAAATATACTTTTCATGTTATAAAGTGATATAGCTCTATTTTTCTTTTGCCTGGGTGGCAGCTCTACGCTTCCATATCCGAGGCTTTTCAGTGTGGTCTCACAAAATTATCACGACTACAACAACCATGAAAAGAGTTGGATGGACATTGCTGCTCAATCACAGCTGCCTGGTCATTGTTTTTCATCAGTAATGTAGCAAAGTTGATGGTGGTGTGTGTGTGTCTCTGTGTGAGTGAAAGACAGAGAGGGAGAGCGAGAGAGATTTTGTATGATAAGCTTCATGTTATGGACGCACAGTTTGAGCACTCAGGTCGCATCAGAGCATCGGGCCGTATAGTGTGAGACCTGCATCGTGACCTATGAACTTCTAACCCCTGAGATTTAATTGTACAGTTTGAGCAGGAGCTGAATAACGTGACTGAAAAAAATCGCAGCATTTGCCCAGCTTAACGCAGACTGTTTAAACTAAACAAGCTGCTGTTTCACATATTAAACCCTGTCAGCCGCAGTATTGCCTTCTGTTTTAACAGTTAAAGCAGTAGAGACAAGCTGTTTACATGTGCGTGGAACTCTAGCTTGTTTAACCAGGCTAGCTGTTAGCTTATAGCTCATGCTAGCTAACCAGCGAGCAGTTAAAAGGTCAGCCGAAGCTGCACAAAACACCCACAAACTTATCTCACTACAACGTAGCGCCGAAAATATGACTCGCAGCTCGAGCTCGACACAGCGTCTGTAACATAAGACTGACATCCAGCTAACCACAGCTAAAAAGATATTTAGAGACCATTTCCTCAGGTTACACGAGTTGAGTTGTTTCATGCTGAAAAGTTGGTTGGTTATGGCTCTCACTGAAGACACCGAAACTGAAGATATAGCTGTTCTTTTGTAATGCTTTTAAGAGAAACATTCTTAGTATATGAGTCCGAGGGTGTTCATCCTCTTCAGCTCTAGCGTAGACTCTGCCATCTTTTCATGTGTTTCTTCTTTCCGTGTGTCACTACTTTGAAACGCTTGGGCCGCTCTGCCCGCCACAATTTCAAACTGGTCATGTGACTGCATGACCACATCTGATTGGTAAAAAATGTACCGGAAACTCCACTGGCGTCATGTTATCTAATGTGTTAAACTAATTATTTTTTTAAAAAGTAACAAATCGAATATTGCAAATGTAGCGGAGTAAAAGTACCATTTCTTCTTCACAAATCTACTCAAGTAAAAGTAAAAAGTATCGTACAAAAAATGTACTTTCAAAGTAATTTTTTTTTTCAAAAACTTACTCAAGTAAATGTAACGGAGTAAATGTAACTCGTTACTACCCACCTCTGGTATACATAGTATTACAGTAGTGCAATATTATCATGATTTCATCACATGATTCAGTGATTTCAGCCTAATAGTTCAATCAGTCCCCCCACCTCAGCATTCGAATGCCTATAACAAAAGCGCTGGGATAAGGTTTCATTCACACTTTACTCTTATCAACTTATGGATTTGTGTGACTCCAAATCAAAACTTTGTTGTCACAAGGGCAGAACAGACCCAGGGCAGACAAGCTGAATTCAGAATAGAAGACACAAGTTTATTTACGGCTGCCGAGGTGCCCCACACGGATCCTCCACTGCTTCCCCATCCTCAGCATATGCCTGTGGTGATGGCGGTGGTGGTGTCCACAGCAGCACCGCCAGATTCGCTCAGTTTGATGCCGCAGCTCTTCCCGCTGGCGGCGCACCTCCCCCTCCTATTCCCCCCGCATGACCGCCATATTGGCCACCAGCTCCCTTTTCTGGCTCTCTCATGGGCCTCCCGTCTGCCTCATGGATTTCAGCACCAATGTGGCGTAACTGAGACACGGCGGGACCACAGATTCGGTGTTAGAGCCATTTTATTTATTCTGGCTCCAGCTCTCGGCTGTCAGCCGCACCACATCACACCACAAAACTAACTCACAACAACCCCAATTCCCCTTATGTAGGTCGGCAGGGGCAATTGCGGACCACCACGCCTACCAAGTGTGGGTGTTATGGAGAACAGTTTAAGAGTTTGATCTTTATTGCCTCACTAAAATGTGTTTGTCCTATTGTGGCCACTCTAGCTTTGATTATGCACTTGAATTCATAGGAGTAAGAAAACAACATTCAATTCACTGCAGTCTATTGACATCTAGCGGTGAGATATTACACTCTGCTTAAATGGCATTTCTCTTTTCTTTGTATTTAGAAATCTTAAAACAAAATTTCAATCTTTCATTTCACTGTGACTCAGAATTTAAAACGATGCATCAAATTTTTCAACAAGTCAGATAAAGAAGGCCTGTCTTGACCATTAAATATATACCCATTATCCCTGATTGGGATTTTAGGTTTTGCCAAGCTAGCGGATGCAAAGAAAGAATGCCTATTTCTAATTAGAAAGCAAATCATGGCTAAAATTTTGTAGTTCGCCATCATTCTGGATTTACCTCTGGCTCCACTACGGAGTTGACATGTGTGATTTCTATTAACATCTGTCATTAATGCTGATTAAATTTGCTACATAAAAATACCCATATTAATTCATTCTGATCTTCTTTGGGTACGGGGCATTGGTTCAAGATGCTTTTGAGCTCTACAGGAGACAAAATGTAGAGTTGTGACTCTGAAATGCAAATTATGATGTATTTGAAGTATTAGTAACATAAGACCCAATATAATATCTTTTTTATTGACATAAATTGAGTGAAAAGTAAAAATTGAACAATCAATTGCAATATAAGATGAAAGAGAGGTAATACATTTTACAAAGCACCGGAGGAGTTAAATGTGACAGGAAGTGTACATCTGAATGTATTCTGGCTTAACCAATCAGATACAATTTTCCATCTGACCTGAAACAATCATCTCACCTCCTTCACTCAGTGAAATACCAGTAAGGTCCACGACAAGAAGCAGTGTCAGGATGATCGTCTTCTGGGTTACATTGTTTTGTCTTCATGAAGGATGTAAGTGTTTTTTTTTTTTTAATTTTATCTAAAAATTTATCTGTTAACAATTTACACACCAATAGATTTGCGATTGACAGTTACCATGTAAAAAAATGTTTTACTTTTCCATCTCTTTTCCTTAATTCAGACTCTCTGGTTCCAGTTAAAACTGTTCAGCTTGGTGAACCAGCAACCTTAACATGTGCTATTCCCAAAGAGCTCAGCATTAGAGGAGTCAACTGGTACAAGCAGAGTGTCGGGGATACTCTTAAATTAATAGTTACACTGTATAAATCTACAGTTGATTTTGGTCCTGGATTTTCGAGCTTAAGATTTGGAGTATACGATGGTAAGAATTTTACCAGCTTGACCATTTTAAAGACAGTTCAAGAGGATGAGGGACTCTATCACTGTGCAAACACAGAATGGATTGGAACTACATGGAGTGGGATGTATTTGTTAGTAAAAGGTAATAAGCCAACCTACCTTTACAAACTTTGAAAATTTGTCCAAGCATGTTTTGAAGAATGTCTTTGTAATTGCACAGGAAAAGCTCAGAGGACATCAAACTTTGCAGTCAGTCAGTTGCTGATAGAATCAAATCCAGTCCGTCCAGGAGACACAATGACGCTCCAGTGTTCAGTCTTCTCTGACTCTGACAACAAGACGTGTCCAGGAGGTCTCAATATTCTCTGGGTCAGAGAGGGATCAGATAAATCTCAACCAAACATCATCTACACTGACAGAAACAGAAGTAATGAATGTGAGAAAAGGTCTGACCATCAGAAGACATGTGTTTATCGCTTCTCTAAGAACGTCAGCTCCTCTGATGCTGGGACTTACTACTGTGCTGTGGCCACATGTGGGGAGATATTATTTGGAAATGGAGCTAAACTAGATATCCAAGGTAGCTCTATCAATCAATCATAATTAACTATTACCAATTTTTAGTGAACGTTCACAGCAATGTCATTATTGGGTGACATTGCTGTTGAGTATTGGAAGTTATATGCCAAATATGTTGATAATGTAATGTGTAAATATTTGTTAATTTTCTTTTTAATTTTTTGACACTTAGATGTGTTTATTGTATATATTTAAAATGTTTCGTTATTAGTCTATTCTTTGTATGTTTTGTTTATATTCTCTGTTAATAGTTAGTGTTTATTTGTTCCCTTTGTGTTCCCACTGTGTAGTTATAGCTAAGTGTTGTTTACTGTCTTGCTACGTTCACCTCTTCCTTGTTTTCCCCTTCTGTGTCTCATTCCCCTGATTAGTGTTCGGTGCGTCTGTGAGTATAAATAGTGATGTCTTCTCTTGTCCTTTGTCAAACTGTCTTTTGGAGTTCTGTTTGCCTTTTGTATGTGGACTTTTAATTCTTTTCTTTTACATATTTTTCTGTCACCCAAAAATAAAGGCATGTCTTTTGTTTGTAATGTAATAATGTGACAGATTGTGAACAACAGGAGCAAGGCTGAAAATTATTTTTGTTTGTTTTTTGTAGTGTTACCCACACAGTCAGCATTTAATCAGCTGACAATATTAATAGTATTTTTGGCAATTTCTGTCATTGGAAACGTCTTCCTCATCTGCAATCGAAGAGTATGTAAAAAACTTCAAAGTAAGTGTTACGAGAAACTGAAAATATTTAAAAGATGAAACTTGTGCAAATTATATTGAAAGGATGAAAAGACTGATCCATTTTATATACAGAATCATAATGTAAAATATACTGTAAAAGGCCCTAGCAGTGCTTAAGTTCTGCAAATAACTTATTTCTTTAAGTGAGATTTTTATCAATGACAAAAGGTTCTCAGGGACATGCAATATTAAGTTAATTTCACTAATATATATATTTTTATTATTTTGTTTATCCTTAGGAAAAGAAAGTGCTATAGCATATGCACAAACTGACACCTCATGCCAACCAGTAAGTGATGAAAATTTGTGTTATTCACTTCAAATATGTCAGAAAATGTTAAATGCCACTTCATAGATAACATGTTTTATGTTACCACACAGACTGTCGTTGATGAAGAACTAAACTACGCTGCGCTGAATTTCTCTGAAAGAAAAACAAGAGGAAGAAGGAAGCGAGAGTGTGCTGAAGACAGTGTCTACTCTCATGTTAAATGCTGATGTTAATAACGATGTTTAGCATCTCCTGAAATTAAAATTGATCCTGACATCTTGTTTTTGTTTGGGTTTTTTTATTAATATTTAAAGGTTGACAGTTAATTTTCAATCTTGCTGAAAATACTTGGACTGCCAAAACCTTAAACTTAGTTGTGTTGCATTTCTGGCATTCTTGAGTTTTAATTGTATGAACTGTTTTGTAGTCGTGCTTTCTGGAATAAATAAATATACATTTGCCTCAAAAGTGTCTTTTATGTTTAAAGCAAGACAATGCAGGCAAAAAAGAACCCTAAAAGAACAAAAACGATCATTTCAGTACTCAGTACACTAAGTGGACAGGTTTAGCAGATACATGGAGTCATGAACATCCACTGCAGTGATGAAATGGAACCATTGGTTTGTAGGGTAAAGCCTCCAGTTCAGTTTTTATCTGTCTTCTTTACTTGTTTTTTTGGCTTCTTTGTTTGATTTTTTTAACTGAGTGTAACAGATGATGGTTAAATCTGACTGAGAAGACACTGCATGCATGTAGCAACCACAACCTAAATAATTTACAAAATGAACATCAAACTGTCGTAAAAGTAGTGATCACGATCACAAATCAAGGGCACAGTAATTACATTCCTAGACAAAGAAGACATGTGTACCATGGAATTTCCTGATCAAATTACTGTAATTCTTCAACCATTTGAGTAGAGCAATGCTTAACTGGTTCCGGTAAGTATGTTTAGCTCATTAATTTGGATATTAATTTGTACAAGTTGTTATTATGCGCTATATTTATGTTTACAAGGTACATGGCCTCTAATGTACATATAATTAAGCACATATGGAGACTAAACTTTTAGATGAGGCTGAGTGTGGAACACCACTTTCCCATGTTGCTTGTCTGTGTTTATTGTGCTATGGTGTGTTGATATCTGTGCATTCCTGTATTATCCTTTTGTGTTACACATTTCGATGTTTTTTTTTCCTCGCTACCTAGCCTGACCTGTCTCCCCAATGTGATGTTTGTATTGTATGTACGGTCGGCAAGGTCTGTCATCTCGGTTGTGGGCAAAAGACCTGCAACTGACAAATAAAGGCTATCTCATCATCATCATCTATTAAATTAAAAAAATGAAAATGTAAGGTGTGTTTAAAGCATAAAAATTGTATCAAAAAAGTCCTGCAAATGTTCTCTAAAATGCAGAGTGTGACTATAGTGTTAGCTTTCTGCTTGCTTAAGGTTTAAGGGCAAAAATAACAATCACTTAGAGACGGATAAAATTGTAGTTCAAAATTTGGACAATTGCAAGAGAAGATGAAATTGAAGTGAAAGGTTTTACAAAGCCCAGGAAGAAGAATTTTGAATCTATCATCCCCCCATCCATCTTCTGCTCCTTATCTTATATAACCCAATCTTCTCCCCAACCACCTCATCTTGGAAGAGACTGGTCAAGGGGAGAGGCACAGGTGTGCCCTGATGCCTCCTCCTAGTAGAACATTCCTGAAATCCCAAATCCCAGGAAGCATCCTAATCAAATGCCGGAACCACCTCAACTGGCTCCTCATGGATCTACCCTTTAGAGGAAGTTCATTTCAGGTGCTTGTATCCACAACCTTAAGCATCTATTCTGTGTTAGCCAATCACATGCATTTTACTGTCTTAGGTAATACAATTATTTCACCTCTTTTAATCACTAAAATACAAGTGAGATCACCAACAACAAGCAGTCTTAAGGATTTTCTTCATCAAGGATGTAAGTGCTCTTTAAATATGTTGCCAAAAAATTGGTATAAGCAGAAAACATGTCATGTGAAGAATAATATAAAATAATTTTGCATTAGACTGTTTCCATATCATATGTATTTGATTCTATGGCCTTTCTTACCTGAAATTTGGTCCCGATTTGCAGAGGCAAATTGTGTGGCAAGAAAGAGAAGTGGACCCAAGAGCAGGCACTGGTTACTGTGAGTGAGTTTATTTACAAGTGTGGGGATACAAACAGAAGCGGGGATGGCATGAACAAAAACTAAGGAAAACCTAAACTGGGAAAACTAAGAAACAAGAACCCAAACCTGAAATGCGAGGAGACTGAGGGCAGAGGTAACACAGGGCACAACAAACAGCTTGGTAAAACATGTGCTATTTGTCTTATCTTGGTGTCCACATCTCCTCAGACCTGACATGGGCTGCCCACATTCAGGTTCAGACCAAAAAGGCTAGGCAGCGCCTGTATCACCTACGACAACTGAGGAAGTTCAGGGTCTCTCCAAAGATCCTCAGGATTTTCTATACAGGCGCTGTGGAGAGCATCCTCACACAGAACATGACATCATG